GCGCCGCGGGCACGAAGGCGCCTGCGCCACCTCCACGGCCGCCTCCTGCGCCTTCAAAAGCGGCGGCTAGCCCAGCCAGACCGCCCGCAGCTCCCGGAGCGCCGACAGCGGGAGCGGCCGCGGCAACGGCAGCCGCGGGGGGCCCAGCGACGCCAGCCACGATGGCGCGCCCAGCCGTGTTGAGCGCGATGCCTGGCCCAGGCCCGAGTTCGAGCGTCGGGCGCGTCGGGGCTGACGCGGCAGCGGCCACCTCACTGGGCAGCGGAAACCCTCGGAACCGATAGACCTGGTCCCCGCCTGTCAGGGCTGCGAGCCCTCCAGCGGCGCCGCCTGCATGGATCGCGAACTCCCTGGTGCCCACGCCGTTTTGCACGACGTTTTCGGCGTAGGCGTGCCCGTCGGGCGTACGGATGCCCGTGCCGAACTGCGCGCCCGCCACCCGATTGAACCCCAGCACGACGTCCCCTCATCGAACCCTGCCAAAGCGAGAGGGTGACCTGCAGCAGCAGCGGCCGCCGCCGACATTACTGCGTCGCGGCGCGGGCACGCACAAGGGCCGCCTGAGCACTGGCCTCGGCCCCCACCCCAGCGGCAGCGAGCTCCCCGGGCCGCTCTTGCGAGCTCCGAAGGAAGCCGCGCGCCGCGGCGGCGCCGAGCGCGAGCCCGCACACCAACGCCAGGAGCACGGCCGACAGCGGCCACCCAGCAGCCTGCGGCGGGCAGTTCAAGCATGCCGCCCCCAACCCAGGCCCGCACACATGCAAGGGCGCGCGGGTGCAGGCTGGGCACTCTGCGCGCGAGACCAACGCCGCCTGTGCAGCGCCCTGGGCGGCCTCGCCCGCATGCCAGCGGAAGGATGACATGGCAACTGCGGCATTATTTCCCGCGGGGCTCTACTTCACGTTTTCAAAATGGATATGTATATATATATATATATATATATATACACACACTAGAACCATCGCGCGCGCTTCGCGCGCGCTCAGGTTCTAGCCCAGGCCGGGGGGGTGCGTTGGACGATCTTGGACAACGCTATCAAGCACAGGCGCGCGACGACATCTGAGGAGCTTCTGGGGTGTTCCGCATGCTTCGTCAACTGGCTGTTGGAGGCACCTCTTGGGTGCCTCTTGGGAGGGCGTCTGAGGGTCCCTTGGGGGCATCGGTTCTGCAATCTGAAGCCGTCATTGGCCGTCTTGGCTGCGTGGAGGCCCGACTTGAGGCCACCTGCGGCCAGATTGAGGCAATCCGGAAGCCTCCTGGGGGCCTCCTGGAAGCAGTTTTGATGCATCTGGGGCACTCTTGGGCTATTTTAAAACCTCTTGGACGTCTCCCAGGGGCCTTTTGGGCCCTCGGGGAGCTTTTGGGGTCCTCGTCGGACCACTTTGGGGCCTCTTGCAGCCTCCTGTGGGCCATGTGGGGGGACCGCTCTGCTGTTGGGTCGCGTTCCCGTTCTCGGGCCTCTCTTGGGGCTCTAGGGGCCCTCTCGGGCCGTCTTGGGCGCCTCAAGCACCGTATTGGGGCCCTCGCGGGCCGTCTTGGGGCCCTCTTGGAGGCCTCTGCCTCTATGTGGGAGCGGTATTGGAAGCCTTTGGGGCCGTCTTGGAGCATCGGGATGCCAAAAGGCACAAAAAAAAAACGTCAAAGCCCAATCGTAAAACAATGTGTTGTGCCTCTTGGGGCCACCTTGGGAGATCTCTTGGAACCTCGTCGGCCCTCTTGGGAGCTTCTTGGGGGCCTCTTGGATCCGATTGGGGGCCTCTTGGGACTTCCCGAGACCCTCTCGGGGTAGAAAGCTCGGATTCTCGGTTCGTACTTCCCTTCTTGGGCCTCTCTTGGGGCTGTCTTGGGGCCCTCTCGGGCCGTCTTGGGCGCCTCAGGCACCGCCTTGGGGCCCTCGTGGGCCGCCCAGGGCCCTCTTGGAAGCCTCTTCGGCTATCTTGGAGCTGTCTGGGAGGCCTCTTCCTCCTCCTCGTCCCCCTCCTCCTCCCTCCCACTCCAGCTCTCTCTCCTCCTGATCTTCCTCCTCCTCCTGCAGCGTGTTCCGGAAGGCTCCCGCCGGAACATGCTGTGCACAAGTGCTGTCACTGCTGCCGCCACCGTGCCCTGGGTGGTGGGTCAGAGGCCTCATGGGTGTTGCTTTGGATCTCGTGGTTGGCCTGTCGGGGACGTCGTGAAGGCAGTTTCGCAGCTTCTCGGTAGCCGTTTTGGGACCGTTGTGGGGCCTCCTCGGAACTGTTTTGTGGCCTCTTGGGCCTCCTGGGTGCCTGTTGGGGGCATCCTGGGGCCTCTTGGGGGCTCCTTGGGGCCTCCTGGGGCACTCTTCAAGCCGGAGGGTCGAATTTTGGAGTCGTGGTCCCCCTCTTGGGCGCATCTTGGCTGTCGGACAGCCGAAAAGGCTGGAAGGCCAAAATCTGTCGAAAACCTTTGTAAACGTGACGATTTCGGCCTCTGGAAGCGCTCTGGAGAGGCGTCTTGAAGCGTCGTGGAGTGCCTTGGGGCGCCTCTCGGGCCGTCTTGGGCCTATCTTGGGCGTCCTGGAGCGGTCTTTCGGCGACTCGGGGCCCGCTTGGGTCGTCTTGGGAGCCTCTGGAGGCCCTCCTGGCCCATGGGGGGGTCGGAGGCGGCGGCCTCCGAGGCCCAGGACGCGGAAACCCTATAAAAACACAAGGAAAATGAGCCCCCGTCCCGCCATGGGGGGTGGAGGCACCTGTCCTGGGGCCCCGGGCCTCGCCCCCAGGGGTATATATATATATATATATATTATATATATATATATATATATATATATATATATATATATATATATATAATATATATATGTATTTTGATGGAATAAAAATATATAGAAGTAGGTATGTGTAGAGGTATATGTAACTGTGTATAGATATGTGTATGTATATGTATATGTATATGTATATGTATATGTATATGTAAATGTAAATGTATATGTATATGTGAAAGAGCGTGTTCTACCGCTGCTGGCGGAAAACCGGGGGGGGGGGTCACTACCTGTTCGAACCCCTCCCCCCTCCCCCCCCTCCGGAAAACCGGGGGGGGTCACTACCGGTTCGAATCCCTCCCCCCCCCCAGCTCATCATGAAAAGGGGGGGGGGGGTCACTACCGGTTCGAACCCCTCCCCCCCCCCCCCTCTCGAAAACCGAGTGGGGGTGCGGACAGAGGTGGGGACGGTGTTGGTGGGACAGTGGTGAGGGGACAGCGGGACAGTGGTGGGGACAGTGGGACAGTGGGACAGTAGAGGGCCGGTAGTGGTGGGGACAGTGGTGGGGACAATGGTGGGAACAGGGGGGACAGTGGACAGTGGTGGGGACGGTGGTGGTGGGGACAGTGGTGTGGGCACAGTGGGAATGAGGTGGAAACAGTGGGACAGTGGAGGGTACAATGGTGGTGGGGACAGTGGTGAAGGCGGTGGCGAGGACGGCGGTGGGACAATGGGACAGAGGTACAGTGGGGACAGTGGTGGGGACAGTGGGGACAGTGGTGGGAACAGTGGGACAGCTCAGTGGGACAGCGGCGGAGTCAGTGGGACAGTGGGGACAGTGGGGATAGTCGGGCAGTGGTTGGGGCCGTGGAGACAGTGGGGAGAGTGGAACCGTGGTGGGAACAGTGGTGGGGACAGTGGGGACAGTGCGACAGTGGTGGGGGCACTGGTGGGGACACAGTGGGGACAGTGGTGGTGAGGACAGTGGTGCTGGGAACAACAGTGGAGGATGTGATGCGGACGGTGGTAGGGACCGGGAGTCGTTTGCTGGCGGTGAGTGGGGGGGTGGGGAGGGGTTCGAACCGGTAGTGATCCCCCTCCGGTTTTCGAGGGGGGGGGGGGGTTCGAACCGGTAGTGACCCCCCCCGGTTTTCCGGATCGGTTTTCCGGATCCGGAGGGGGGGGGGGGGGGGGTTCGAACCGGTAGTGACCCCCCCCCCCAGTTTTTCGAGGGGGAGGGGGGGGGGGGGGAGGGGTTAGGGGAGGGGGGGGTTTTGCCGGGGGAGGGGGGGGGGGAGGAAGGGTTCCAGCAGGGGGGGGGGGGGGATTTTTCGGGGAGGGGGGGGGGGGGGCGACCCCCGGGTTCCGGAGGAAAAGGTTGGCAATTTTCCATAGTAAAGCGGGGGTGGATCACGCTCTCTCGTATATGTCTACGTACATGTATATGTTTACGCTTATGTATATACACATAAATGCTACAGTATGTCTATACATGAATGTAACTAAAAAGCGCCATGCAGCTGAAACCAGCGTTTCCTCTGAGACATCCCCGCGTTCTGGTCCGTTAAACAATGTTGGACATGTAGACGCGTCAAAAGCCTGCGGACATCCCCACAATATTGGCGCGAACGGGACCGTGAATACTCCACTGGCGCCGTCCCTGAGGGTGATGTAGCTACCGACTCGCTTAAGACATCCTCATAATCTGTTTCGGCAACATAAGATGTCAGGCATGCAAACAGGAAAACCGCCTAAGACATCTCACAATCTCGGCGCGAACGGGCCCGTGAAATACTCCCCATGGCGCCCCTCTTGCTGAAGCCAACAGAGTGCCGACAGTTCCGCATGCGCCAAATCGCCACACAGTGATGGACTGACCGAGTCTGAGTGGGGCAGATTTGATTGAGTCTGATTATGAAAGATCTGCGTGTGAGTGACTCAACGTGAGTGAATCTGAGAGTGAAGAAATGATGCGGTCGAGCCTGAGAGTGAGTCTGACTACGAATGACTCTGAGTATGGGTGAGCCCGAATATAACTGAATATGGAAAAGGGGTCGAACGCCAATCCAAGATATTCGCGCGGACCATCGATCAATTACGTCTATGCATGTCGTTCGCCTTCGTTCCTCCTCCTCCTCCTCCTCTTCCCCTTCCTCCTGATAATCCTGCTCTTCCTAAGCGTCCTCCTCCTCCTCCTCCTATTCCCCCCCCTCCTCCTCTTCCTCCTCCTCCTCTTCCTCCTCGCATTGCCCCCAGATGCGGGGAGATTCGTTCTCACTCCTCGCGCGGCAGGCCGAGCGACTCGCGGACGTCGCCAGCCAGCTCCTGCGCAGGGAGGCTGCAGAGGAGGACGGGAGGGAGGAAGAGAAGGGAGAGGAGGAGGGGGACAAGGAAAAGCAAGGAGGGGCAGGGGGTGAGAGTGCCGCAGCCACCACCAAGGCGTCGGGAGTGGCGGCTGGCGCACCCCCCCAGGCAATCCTGCTTCTTCGCTGTCTAGAGAAAGGGAGGGGGGGGTGGGATGAGAAGGAAGAAGAGCAGGAGCAGGAGGAGGGGGAGGATAAGGATAAGGCCGTTTGGGGGTGTGCCTCTAAGTTCGCATAGCTTAGATCAGTTCGCTGACCCCTGGGTGATTTTACGGATGCAGGCCACGTGGGCCGTTGCCAGCCCTGGGGGCATGCCTGGGGCGCCCCGTTCCCTGGTTCGTTTCAGAGGGGACGGGAACCCAGCTAGCAGGGAGACCCTGCTCAGAAACGGTTGCTGGTGTACGTCAGCAGGGAGGTCGGCGCTGCGGCTCCGTTGCCCGCCGCGCGCGCCTCCCACTGGAGGGCCTGGCAATTGTTGGTCAAGCGCCAGCGCGGCGAGAGAGTTCCTTCCACTCCCCCCCACACCCTCACCCCCACATCCTCCCCCTCCTCCGGATCCGACGCGCCAAATGCGCGCCGCTGGGCGGCTGCACTGCTACATTGGACATGTTTCTCCGCAGCAGGCACGTCAACTGTAATGATTGGTTTCTCGTCGTCAACGCAATCGCATTCCCATCTTTCTCGAAACTTGACAGCTATAAGATTCGAAACTCTAAAAGTGCAGAACAATACTAATACGTTATGTCGCCCAGTGTTCTTCGCAACTGACTAGAACATTGAACTGTGCCATAGGAGCCGCCTCTGTATATACGCTGTTGTGTTGGCAGGCGAATTTGAAGACCAACATAAATGTTGCAATGTGTTGTTGTTTGATGGCGTGCGCGTCGTCTCTTGGAATGACGGCGCATTGTAGGAGAATATACCACAACAACAAACGACAACAAAGACGATAACAACACCAGCAACAACACCAATAAATACCAACGACCACAACGACCAACAACAACCACCAACAACCAACAACAACAACCAACAACTACCAACAACAACCAACCGCAACAACAACGACAACACCACCACCAACAATAACACCAACAACAATAACAACAATCAGTTTAAGACTGTTCATGCTTGTCTGTTAGCGTGCCACTCAACACGTATATCCCAAACCCTCGGCACCCGCCCTCTTCGTCGTCGACCGTACCCCCGTGGCGGTAGATCTTTCTTACCTGCATATGGCGTGCAGCCCCTGAGGCAGGGGAAGAGAGGACGGATGGAAGGAAGGGGCAAGGGGCAAGGGGGAGGGAGGAGGATGGAGCGCGACCGAGAGTAGCAGGAGAGGGGGCCAGGAGAAGAGAACACGTGGCAAAACCAGACGGGCAGATTGGGTGGGTAGACCCTAACAGCCAGGTCGGGAAGGAGGGCCAAGGCGGCCAAGTCGAGCAGGCGGGTTGCTGAAAAGTGCGTCCTGCATGAACCGTGAGGAAGTCTCGAGCAACAGATCGACTCCCAAATCAATCGTGAGGAAACCCACAGCGAGAACGTGACTCCTGAATGTCGAGGGCGCGGCGTCTGAGGGAGTCCCACGTGAGAGCATGCTGTCTGCATAAGCTGTGGAGGTCCCGCGCGAGAGCGCGATTTAATAAGATATTGTAAGGATGTATCAGGCGAGAGCCGCTGTTGTTGCAAACCCGGGGCCAGCAACACAATCCTGAGACTCATTGCTTTCCCAAGTAAAACAAGAGAGCAAGGTGCGAGCCCCGGGAACAGCGGCTCAACTGAAAAACACACTGTGCCCCGAAGGGGGATCAATCATATCCTTTAGGAATGGGACTTCGGCAACAGCAACCACGACGGCGAATACTACGACTACGACTACTACTACAACTACTACTACTACTACTACTGCTGCTGCTGCTGCTGCTGCTGCTACTATTACTACTACTATTACTACTACTACTACTACTACTTCTACTACTACTACTGCTACTGCTACTACTACTACTACCACTACTACTACTACTACTACTACTACTACTACTACTACTACTACTACTATCAGTGCTACAACAACTACTAGTAGTAGTAGTAGTACTACTACTACTACTACTACTGCTACTTCTGCGACTACTACTACTACTACTACTACTACTACTACTACTACTACTACTACTACTACTACTACTACTACTACTACTACTACGACTACCACCACCACTACTACTACTACTACTACTACTGCTACTGCTACTACTGATACTACTAATATCACTACTACTACTTCTACCACTACCACTACCACTACCACTACCACTACCACTACCACTACTACTACTGCTAATACTGCTACTACTACTACAACAACTACTACTGCTACTACTACTGCTAATACTACTACTACTACTACTACTACTACTACTACCACCACTACGACGACTACTACTACTACTACTACTACTACTACTACTACTACGACTACCACTACGACTACTACTACTACTACTATTACTACTACTACTACTACTACTACTACTACTACTACTACTACTACTACTGCTACAACATTAACAGCAGCAACAGCAGCAGCAGTAACAGCAATAAACCCTAACATGCCTCACGAGGCGCCCGAGAGGCCCCCATCAAGCCCAAAAAAACTGCCCTCTCCTCCGCGTCGGCATCTTCAGGACGTCCAGCCCGCTCTCCCGCCCCCCCAACCGTCTGGGAGCCCCCCAAGAAAGCTCCAAGAGGGCCTCGATAGGTCTCCAGGCACCCCAGGCCCCAGCAGGCCCCCAGGAGGCCCCAAAGAGGCACCCCAGGGCGAGGCTGCTCAAATGCGTCCAAGACAGAAAATAAGTTAAACAAACACGGACGCAAGCATAACCAGGACATTGTTTCCACATTGGCGGCTGCTCGAAATATTGGTGGTTGCTGTTTCATGCCGATAATGCGACCTGCTCCCTGCAATGTGCCTTGGTACACGGAAACGCACGCCGTTGAACGAACATGGGTTGTGCAACTCTGGTGCTTTCAAGAAGTGTTCTGGCACAAGGTAGGTGCTGTGGAAGCGTGCCTTTTTCAATACAAGCTCGCTTTGCGAGGGCGAAGTCACGCATATCATTAAGAAAACGAATCAGTGGTCTTGGGGCCCACGTGGGTGGTCTTGATGTCATCTTGGGGATCTTGAACCGATCGTTGGTCTTCGAGCGACCCTGGACCCTCTTGGACATCCTCTGGAACTGGTCGTGGCCCAGGAGGGCCCGAAAGCACATAGTTGTACACAACACTCGCACAAGACGCTCTCTAATAGGGAGGCGGTGAGTGCCAAATGTATGCTGAAGGGAGGGCTCCCGCAGGGCCCCAGGAGGGCCCATTGAGGGCCCCAAGATGGCCCCAACGGGCCGACCCGACATCTAACACAAAGTGAACACAAGACGCTCCCCGATGAGGAGACGGTGTGTACTAAGAAGTGTGTGTGTGTGTGTGTGTGTGTGAAAATTCGGGCCCTCTTGAAGGCGGCCCAGGGCCCTCGGAGGGCTCCCCGCAAGGCCCCAGAAGGGCCCAACTGGCCCCAAGAGGGTTCCGAGGTGGCTCCAAGAGGGCCCGACGTTTCACGCAAAGTTAAAACAAGACGCACTCCAACAAGGAGGCGGTGTGTGTATGTGTGCTAAATTTGAAATTGAGTCCAGGCCCTCCCGGAGGCCTTCCAAGGCCCTCAGATGGCTCCTGCAGGGCCCCAAGAGGGGCCAGGAGGGCCCATACGGGGCCCCAAGATGGCTCCAAGAGACCCGACATCTAGCACAAAGTCAACACACGACGCTCTCCAATAAGAAGGCGGTGTGTGAAATATATGTTTAAGTTCGGGCCCTCTTGGAGGCCTCTCAAGGCCCTTCCAAGGGTTCCCGCAGGGCCCCAAGATGGCTCCGAGAGGGCCCTACACTTATCAGAAAGTTAGCACAAGACGCTCTCCAATAAGGAGGCGGTGTGCGCGCAAGTGTGTGTGTGTGTGCGTGTGTGCGTGTGCGTGTGTGTTCGCGTGTGTGTTTGTGCGTGTGTGAATTTTGTCTAAGTTCGCAGCACATCACAGCACATGTGCGTGGGTGAATTGTGCGTGTGTGTGATTGCGGCAACACATCACAACACAACACATCACGACGCAGCACAACACCGCACAACACATCACATCACATCACAGCTCACGCCGCTGTGTGCGTGCGTGCGTGCGTGCGTGCGCGCGCGCGCGTGTGCGTGTGCGTGTGCGTGTGCGTGTGCGTGTGCGTGTGCGTGTGCGTGTGCGTGTGCGTGTGCGTGTGCGTGTGCGTGTGCGTGTGCGTGTGCGTGTGCGTGTGCGTGTGCGTGTGCGTGTGCGTGTGCGTGTGCGTGTGCGTGTGCGTGTGCGTGTGCGTGTGCGTGTGCGTGTGCGTGTGCGTGTGCGTGTGCGTGTGCGTGTGCGTGTGCGTGTGCGTGTGCGTGTGCGTGTGTGTGTGTGTGTGTGTGTGCGTGTGCGTGTGCGTGTGTGTGTGTGCGAATTGTGTCTAAGTTCGGGCCCTCTGAGGGGCCTCCGAAGGCCCTCAGAGGGCCCCCGCAGGGCTCCAAGAGGGCCCTGGAGGGCCCCAAGAAGGCCCGAAGATGACTCCAAGAGGGCCCAGCATGCAACACACAATTAACACAAGGCAAGCAACTCGACAGCCGAGCCATCGGAGATCTGGGACGGCACACGCAGCAGCAACACCGCTGGGCACCAAGGGCAGCCCAGTCAGCACCAGGAGCATCAACGCCAACAACAATTGCATGATCTGTAGCAACAACAACGAAAGAATCATTAACGGAAAGATGATTACAAAGTGGACCCAAGAAGGTTTTGAAAGGATGACCACATTACCCGTGTCGCCCCAAGATGCCAACCCAAAATGCCAACCCTAGAACGAACCTGCGGCCCCAAGAGAACACCGAGACGGACCCATTGTCTTCCAACTGAACTAAAGCTACCGCATGACCCCGATTTTACTCCAAGGTGGCCGCGGGACGACCCAATGAGCCCGAGACGACTTCGAGTTCGCCCCAAGATGACCCTTTTCACGCTAAATGTTCCCGAGACTGTGTCAGTATGGATCCAATGTGATTCTGGTTCGTTTATCTCATCTGCCCGTGCTCGTGCCTTTGGCCGACAAGACGGATGCGGGTGCTGGCCCTCCGCCCTGTCGTCGTCTTCCTCCTCCCCCTCGTCCTCGTCGCCCTCGACGCCGTCGTCATCGCTGTCCGCCTGGCCCCCTTGGCCCCATGCATAGTAGCAGAAAACCGAATCCCTGACACAAGCCGAATACATAGCTTCTCTGATAAAACCGCCAAGAAAGAGAAGATAAAAATGACTGGAAGGAACAATATACGATGGAATATTCACGCTACGACCTGCCCAACAATCCACAAAAGAGTCAACCCGTCCGGTAACTAGCCCGCCCTCGAGCTCAAGTAACGGACACAACGCAAACAATCAATTCAAGACAGACTGCTTAAGGCGACTGACAATACTGCCCTCCTTCCTCCTCCTTCCCCTCCTCCTCCTCTCCTCCTCCTCATCCTCCCTCCTGCTTCCTCGAAGTAAAAATCACACACACACACACACCGTTAAACAAGACGAAGTCGCACGGAGCGTCCCGGAGCGACGCAGCCGAACCAATCGAACCGCGGAGAGTCCTGGAATAGTAGATAGACGGATGCAGAGGAGAGGGAGGAGTACAAGCAATATGGTGGCCGAGGCGGAGGAGGATGGGTAACAGAAGACGATGCAACCAACAATGCGAACGTATGATAGAACCTTCCTCCTATCTCGTATCAATTCTCAATACTCTCTGATCTATGCCCATCCGTGTTTCCCTTCTCTAAACTACATGTTCCTCCGGGTCAGGAAGAAAACGCTCCTTCCGCCTACTACCCCCCATGGGCCCTCTGCCCGTCTGTGCCTCTTCGGAAGGAGTCGGGCTCTTCCCCATCTCCGTCCTTGACGTCGCCGCTGTACTTTGAGACCGCCTTGACGGCCATCTTCAGCACTAGGACGCCTTGCGAGCGGGGGAGCCCCGCGGTGACACGCCAACGACAAGCAGCGAAGGGCGACACCCAAAACTCGGTCCAAAGCGAGGTCACTATCCGTCCCAGAACCCCTCCCAAGGTCCACCCTGGTTCGACAGGCGGCGGAAGAGGACGACCGACAATCCCTTCATAACGAATCCCACCAGCCCTCTGGGCGCAGGTGGTCTAGGGCGTTTCCTTTTCCAACCTCCTTCCTTTCCCTGCTCGGGAGGTTTACCTCCCCCCCCCTCCCTGGGTCTGGATTGCGGGGGCCCCGATGTGTCAGAGCGTTCTTGTTTGCCTACAATGGCTCCAAGATGGCTCCAGAGAGCCCAAGATGGCCTCCAAGATGGCTCAAGATAGCTCAAGGTGGCTCATGATAGCCTCCGACACGCATCCAAGAGGCCTCACGACCACGACGGCCCCAAGGTGCCCTTCGAACCCTCCGAAGACCCCCGGAATACCAAAATCCTTCAAAAACCAAACAGGAAATCAACGTTGTTTGCGTTCTCGCTTTTTCGCCTCCGATGGGTTCTTGAGGCCTCAGTATGGCCCCAAGACGGCTCAGGAGAGCCCCAAGAAGGGGCCCAAGAGGGCCCCAAGAGCGCCAAGGAACGCTCCCAGAGCTGCCCGAAAGGGCCCCAAGACGGCATGTTCGAGCCTCCGACGGGGCGATCCGAATTAGAACCCGCCCTCGTTCTGAACAGCGGTGGCCAACACGGCCCCAATAGGCCTCCCAGGCCACCCAAAAAAAAACCCAAGAGGGCCCCAAAGACCCTGCAATGACCCAGCACTATCCAACATCGTTCCTCCCCTGCTTGGGAGGTGTACCGCCCCCTTCCCTGGGCGTGATTCATAGCAGTAGCCAAAATTGCCCCAAATAGCTCCAAGAGGGCACTAGAAAGCCACATGTGGCAGCCTATTCCTCTTCCTCTTCCTCCTCCTCCTCCTCTTTTTTCTCCCCCTACCCCCAAAAATGGTCCCAGCATCAGCACCACCACCAGCATGAACACCACAAGCAGCAGCACCAGTGGCAGCATCAGCACCAACACCAGCAACAGCAGCAACAGCAGCAACAGCGACAGCACCACCAGCAAGAGTAGCAGCAGCACTGGCAGCAGCACCGAAACCTGAGCAAGTTCGAAACGCACGCGAATTTCAGACACACGTCGGCGCAAGGGCTAAGATCAGGGTGCCCATCGGGATGCGACTATAAGTTGCGCGACGTTAGCGTTGGATCGTAGATACAACAAGCTGCGCCAGAAACGCTTACCACAGGGAACACCATGGCGCATATTGCACTGAGTTCTGTCTGAACTTCATTGCGCGGAGCCTTCGTGCTCTGACCCACGGTGCTGCCCACCCATGTTTTTACGCTTGCGACCGCGTGTTTCGGGCGTCCCTGATTAACCGACTCACCTGGCAATCGTTTCTAAATGGGCTGGCAGGGATGATTTTGTTTGGTGCACAAGCGCGCGAAGCGGGTCGGACGCCATGTAGGCAGGGGCAGGCTGTGCCTCCTGCGGAGGAAAAAAAAAACAAGCTACGAGCGACGTCCAATGCAGAGCGAGACTCAGCGCGGCCACAATGGCGCGAAGCGGCACCAGGAACGCGAAGGAGGTGCCGAAGAAACCGAGCAGCGAACCCAGCGAGGAAGTAGAGAAGCCCACGCTGCACAATGCTCACCACGACGCCTCCCCGAACACGCGGACCTTGACGGCGGCGAGACATGAAGCGAGCGCACCTCTTACCCAGGAAGGTGGAGACACAGCGGCGGCGCCCCGCAAACTTGCCGAGCAGGTAGGATTTGAGAGGAGGGCAGGGATGCCTAGAGGTAAGCGATCTCGAGACCCCGAGCGGGCGATGTCCAGCTCCGCGTAGAGGAAGACCAAAAAGACCGTCGGGGAACGTCCGCGCGCTGTAGACGGGCACGAGGGCATGAACATCAAAGGCAAGCCCCTTCGCGCAGACGTAGACGACCAGGTGCCGCAGGACAGAGAGCAGACGGAAACGGCCATGCAATGCGAGGCGAGCTCGTGTCCCCAGGCATCGTCGCTCCAATCGTCCGGTTCGGGGCCTTCCTGGGCCGCGAGGTCGATCCAGACGTCGTCGGTGGCTGGGTCGAGGCAGCGGACATGCCTCGCCAGATGCAGGGGAGAGGCCGAGGCTATCTCGCGCTTGTCGCCCGCCGCTTCTAAGAAGGCCTCGACCTCTCTGCGACCGACGCGCGGGCGCGGAGGAGGGGCGAGACATGGCAGGATGCCGGGGAGATGGTTGCGTCGACCGCTGTCTGAGCTGTCTGGTTTGCGGAAGTGGGGCGGCGTCGTTTCCCCGGGCTGGTCTGGCCCTTGTCCTCGCCCTGCCCTGCAACGGCGCGCGGGTGGCCAAGCTCGCCCCGCAGGCCGTCGCATGCCGCAGTTTTGGGCTATTGGGGCCTCTTTGCCGGGGCGGGGAGGCGCATGCGGATCGAGTCTTTGTCCAGCATGGCCGTGGGGACGCTGGGCGCCATGCCCTAGATGCGCACCAGGCAGACGCGGCAGCGCCAGGGAGCGTTCTACGAGCCGCGACAAACATTCCACCCGCAGGTCCCATTCGGGGAGGCCGCATCTGTCGCACCCCCGGCCAGGGCTTTCGCTTCCAGACGACAGGGCCAGGAGCGGGGCGGCCGCTGCAACTGTCGCAGATGGCAGAGAAGGACCCGGACTCCGCGGCGCTGGCGCCGAAGCGGTCGTCGATAGGACGGCAATTAGGAATGGTGCTGCCAATCTGCGCTGGGTCGCCAGCACTGGTGGCCACCAGGGGCAGCTGGGCCAACGTGCAGTCGCCGCTGGGGTTGGGCGCCCGGGCGCGCGCGGCCGGCATCCAGAAAGTTGCTAGGATTGCGCTGCAGACCCGGATTCCCTGCGCGGCACTATGGTCCTGCTGGTAGGCGGCCAGCTTATCCCTCATACTTCGTCCACGAGGTTCCCCGACGCCCATGCATCCCAGGTGGCGTTGCCAGCGCCCCGGGCAGAGCCGACGACAATTGAGACCGCTGTTGTGGGCGAAATCACGACTCTGCCCTTGGTAGGAGCGGACACGGTCGCCCTCCCACGTGCAATCGCGGAACTCGAATGATCCTTGCATGCAGCCGTCGGAGTAAGAGCGGGCGCCCATCTAGGTGCTCGAAGAAACGCGCGTCTCCCGAGACCTGGCTGGGGGGGACAAGCTGGACGCCGGGGGCTGCGCTGAGACGCGAGGGCGCGAGGAGGTTGGTCTTGTTGATGGCCGTGTCCCAGCTGAAATAGCGGCGATGGTCGCCTTTTGCTTCCCCTAGATGCTCGTCGCTGCCCACTAGACTGGCGCGGATAGCGCAAACCGCACAGTCGGCAAAGGCAAGCCCAGTGAGACGGGCTGGGTCGACCAGCGCCTCAAGGACCATGAACGCAGAACGCAGCTGGCACCTGCTTTGCAACGTCTCCGCCCAGGTCTGTGGGGATCCGGCCTCTCTGGCGCGCGGGTGGTGATGACTCACGCGCGCCAGGCAAGCGATGTGTCTCAAGGTGTCTTCGAAGCGGCCGTGTTGGTGCAGAGCATCGTCCTTAATTAATCCCCAAATTCCCCCGAAGAGTTCACGGAAATTGACTTCTTTGGAAGCTGATGTGGAAACCGTAGCACTGCCAGGTTTGCAGATCCCAAGGACAGCTTCGATCACGTCACCTGTTCCTTGCTGGTCACAGTATGGGAGCATGCACATCCTGGAATCCCTCACAGCGAGCATCACCACAATGGGTGTGACCCGCGCCTGCGTCAGCGGGATGGGGTCGATGCCGTCCCTGGTGCAACTGTCGAGCAGGGGGTTGGGCCCGGCCTGTCCGCGGAAAACGGCCTCGAGTCCACTCATCCCGGGGTGTGCGCGGTGTCTGCTGCAATGTACAGTGGGCCGTTTTCAAGCGCATGGGAACTGGTTTGGCATGGAATGAGGCGTGCATTTCTTCAAATTTGGTCGGCATCGCCACCGTGAGCCGAATCGCGGGCGGTCCGGGAGATCGTCTGCCACCACGGCAGTGTCGCCGTCGCCCCATTTATGTCCAAGTCAACAAGCCCACAGCATGGCCACCCTGAACGTAATGTAGACCAGGCTGCCCGCATCGATCCCCGGGGTTACGCCGTAGAGAAAGCCCTTGTGGCTCCACACCTTGCAATCGTATGGGTTTGGGTCTGCTGATTGGCTGGCGGTGCCGTACTCGTGTGGGCGAAAACCACTTACCGGTTATAGGACGGGGCCGAGGGCGGGCGCATTCAAAAGGGCGCGGAGCGTGCCGTTCGGTTGCATGGCGAGCCTCTCCCAGGAGAAGTCTCGGTCCAGCGGGGAGTCTGCATAGTAGGCGAATCCATTTGCCTGAGCGGAGCGTTAAGAATTCAAGAAGCCCTTCGCCTGATGGGGAGCCTGCACAGTAGGCGAAGACATTTGCATAGTAGGCGAAGACATTTGCTGGTGGGGATACTTTTTTGTCGCAACCGCAGGCGAGGGCGCCAGCGGCGAGTAAGGTCCGAGCGGCCTGCGCAAGAGTCTAATTGCCTAACGCCGACGGGCCGGCGACCTCAGCAGCGCCTCGGCGGGCGAGCCGGCGTGAGGGGGGGGGGGGGGGCGGGCTGCAGCTGCCAGGGACCAGGTCCAGGAGCGCGCACATGCACGATGAACCAACCGGGTTGGAGCGCAGCCAAAATGCAACTTTTTGTTTGTTTTTGACTAGCGGCCCGCAAGGAAAAGTCCAGAGGGCGTAAGGACGCTGGTGGGGAAACGCGGAGCTGTCAAGAATTCAAAACTCAGTCCCCAGATCCCTCCCAAGGTCCATCGCGCTCAGGTGTCACCCTCGAACCCTCGGTCGACTTCAAACTGTCTTGGAAGGGGGCCGAAACGGGCACCAGGATGGTGAGGCCGAAGGTCGGCATCGGTGCCCAAAAAACAGACACCCCTGCATGTGGAAACGTTATGGACCGAACCCCGGGATCTTCGTGCTAGTACCGATATCCGAGGCCACGACCAAGAGGCTGCAGTCATGTCAAACAACAGCGCGATCTGTTCGATCCCGCTGACGCCGACCACGACGACGACGACCTGCCTGCTGAGAGCACGCCCGTTCCACGTCGCAGCTCACCCCTCAGTCTCGATGAGTCGACGATGTCGGCCAGAGGCAGGTGCAACAACTTCAAGCACTTCTTACTCGCCATGGCAGTGGAAGGCCCTCACAGAAACGGGCCCTGGACCGAAGGGCGCTCTCCAAGACTGGCGCTTCATCCCGAGTCTTTGTAAGAGGAACAAAAAAAGGCATAAGCAATAAACTTTTGACAGTCCCACAGGCTTCTGGGCTCTGCGCTGGACCCCCCTCCCTGGCGCGCGGAGCGCGCCAGGGGCGGAGCCGGTGGCGCCGCCAGGGGTTCAGCGCTGATCCAAGAAATCCGCGCGGACCGCCAACAATTTCTCTTTATGATGTGTCTTGTTCTTCTCGAGTCTTCATCCCGAGTCTTTTTCTGTTCTCGGTCCAGGGTCGCGTAGGAGGCCCCAAGAGCCTGACCTCTGCCAGAAGCCTGTACTCTACGACCCAGTTCTTTCAATACAGGTGCCCCCAGATGCCCCGCCCTTGCCTTTCAGGGCCGCTTCTTTTCCCCGAGCCGTGTCTTGACGAGCTGAGGCTCGGAGGCCGAGAACGGCCGCAAAAACAGCCCATCGCGCTGTTTTCGCTGCGAAAAGCATTAAGACGAAACCAGGACAAAGATAACATCCGATGAAGGCAAATCGAGAAGCTCGGTCGGAGATCCCGCGCCTCTGGAGGACGTCTCGGGCGCCGCGGCCCTCTCCGAGCGTTCTGGAACGCTCCGAGAGCGTCCCAGAACGCTCTGGAACGGATTCGTCCTCGTCCTGGCCCCGTCCGACATCGTGCTGTTTTCGCGACGCGAGCGTGCTGAGGGCTCTTGCTTCCTGGCGGCCATGGCTGGCCGACGAGCTCGGCGAGAGGCAGGCTCGGCAGCTTCAGCCCACGCAGGGCTGCGGGCCCAGACCTCCGACGCCCTGGCGCTGTGATGAGGCCAGCACCATCGGAGGGGCCCAGGGGCCCCCCATATCTATGCATGTGCTCTGGATGTTCGTCCCCCCTCCTGCACTTGCAATATTTTCCACATGATCCAGGGGGTCCTGGCTGTGGGTGGGGGGGCGCCTTTGGGGGGGCTCTAGGGAGGGATGGGAGGACCAGAGAGGACTGGGAGGCGGAAGGGATTGGGCGCGGAGCGCCGCCTGGTGAGCCAGGCGGGAGCCCGAACCTCTTGAACACGGGCGCCTGGGGGCCGAGATCGATGGAGGATGGAGGAGGGGGAGAGGGAGTTGGACACAAGAACGGACAACTACATGCACACAAACTTTCGGAACTCCACGCGGATTTCTTGGATCGAAGCTGGACCATTCTCTCTGGCGCGCAGAGCGCGCCAGGGGGGCTCGCCGCCTATCCAAGAAGTCGTTATTCGAGCGAAGGGAGCAGATGGAGGAGGAGGAGGAGGAGGAGGAGGAGGGAGCAGGAGGCAGAAGGAGGCACGATAGGGGGCAGGAGCAGCGAAAATCTAGGGGAGGAGGCAGGAAAAGCAAGCTCGTTGCCGCGCCGGGACGAGGAAACGGAAGGAGGAGGAGGACAGGGAGGAGGAGGAGGAGAATGAGAAGGAGAAGTAGAGGGAGGAGGGATGAGGAAGAGGAGAGAAGAAAGAGAAGGCTCTAAACATATTAGACAGGAGAGCAGCAGCAAGGTGCCCACGAGCTCCTCAACTTGCAAGGCGAGTGACGGCGTCTCCTCTTCAGGTGCTCCCCGTAGACTCTTCACGAAGCCAATCAACCAAACGGGACAGTCGCTTTAGGATACCTGCCATCAGAAACATTAGCGATGACAGTCCGATGACTCTGCGACAGCTTACTCACGCACATGCGCTCAAGCTTTGGCAAGAGTCTCTGGGAACAGTGCGCCCCACAGTAAGAGCAGGCCATATCTTGCCCACTACGACCCATGCAGTGCCCCGCGGAAATAAAACCAGCAAGCTCGGCCTCACCAGCCAGACATCCAGACCCCGAAGCCGCTCCATCCCCAGGACCACCAGACCTCGAGGACGACCCAGACACGGGCCCCAGGACCACGTCAGCAGCCGACAAAGCAAACTGGGGGCGGCCCCTGCAAACTCCGCCCCATCCGAAGGCAAATCTGAACCTGGTGCTCTGGAGCGGAGAGGAATTACACCGACGGCCAATGCCCATGGTGAACAGCCGTCTCGTGGCCGCAATCTGAAGGATTGCCAGGCACAGACCGTCACACTACCGTTCCTCATATCTCGTGGAGTGTTGCTCCTGGAACAAGAGGAATTGGGACTCAAAAGGAGACGGGGGAACGGCCCTACGGTCGCCTACACAATCCAGCTGCTCTCCTTCTGAATCCTTCTGGGCCGAACTCTAGGCCGCAGCCCAGCCACCAGCACTACAGCTGGGCTTACTCACCTTCAGCCTATGAGACTCAGCCTGGACGTGCACGTCAGAATCTTGATGGTCCGTCACCTCTAGTTTGGCGAAGAATTCGGCCCAGACATGTCCGAGCCAACATTCGATCAGACGCGACTGGTGAGTCAAAACACCTTCCCGGGTTGAGTGCGCTGGTAACCATTCAGACGACGGCTGAGACCTACAATAACAGCAGAGACAGTCTGCTTCCAGATAACAACGTGGGCCCCGCACGCCCATGGCGTGCCGATTGGACCATTCAGCACCCTCAGTCAGGTACAGCCCCCAGCAGTTCGGACACACAGAGCTCCAGCGAGGGAATCGACTTGAGATCTCAAAGCAACTCGTGCCCCTCATACACAACAACAGACAGCACGGCACCAGGCAGCAGGGGCCGTAGGCATCCATGACAGGATCCCACCGTCTCCCATCTGGATCGCCGACCACCCACATCTCCCAAACTCGGGCCCGGAGCTACGCATCACAGACCCGTCAGAAAGGCCACTCGCTCTCAGCGGATGGGCTCCGACCCCCAGTCACTCCAGAAGAGGAAAGGAACAGGCAGGGGGAGAGGACAAGGATGAGGAAGAGAGCGAGAGAGGCGAGTCGAGAATCAGCTCACTGGGGCCTCGAGGCCTCGAGGGGTGTAAAAAGGAGTGGGGTCGAGAATCAGCACCGTAGCTGGTTGTCAGGGCATCGTTTGGCGCCAGAAGCGGCCGCGTATCGAAGACAGCGCCTTGCGGCTGAGCCGACACCAACTGCAAGACGCAACTCTTGAACCCCCCCATTTCCTCATTCTGCCGATCTCCCTAGGCTCAAGACTCGGGAGAGTTTAGTTGCATGCAGGGGGACTCAAACAACTGGGCCGTCATCGGGAGGCCCCTCGGGGCTTTGACCGCCCCGCCGCGAGCGCCGCCCCCCCAGGCCTGTGGGCCAGCGCGGCGGGGACAGCGGGCTTGGGCCCACCAGGGATGCCCCTTGTTGCAAGTCCGGGCCCCAGGGCCCCCCAGAGTCACCCCGAAGGGCCTGGGCGCCCTGGGCAGGCGCGGCGAGCGTGGCGGCGTGGCGGCGGCGTGGCGAGGCCGGAAAGGCAATGTGGACTCCACGCAAGTCGGGAATCACCTGCACGCCCGAATCTAAAAATCCCACCAGCCCTTTGGGCGTGAGTGGTTTAGAGAGCTCTCTCTGTCCTCAACCCCCCAACCCCCCTTCTTCCCCTTCGGGGAGGGGTTTACCCCTCCCCCTACCCCCCCCCTGGGCCTGGACAGGGAGTCCCGAGTGTTCTCAGGGGGGTCTTTTTCGACTCCTGGGAGGGCCCGACGGGGGGGCTCTGAAAAAACCCTCTCCTCTTCTGTGAAGCCAAAATCATTGATTTTACTACGGTTTCGGCCCCATTTTGGCCTTCTGGGGCAGCGCTCCTCTTCCTTCTTCTCAAAATCATTGATTTTACTAAGGTTTTGGGCTCATTTTGTCCTTCGCAGGGGCTCGCGCTCATTTGCGCTTCTGCGGAGGTCGCAAGAGGCCCCCAAGCCCCAAGATGCCTCCCAGAGGCTCCCAAGAGGCGTCCAAGAGGCTCCCAAGAGGCCCCCAAGAGGCCCCAAGAGGCCCCCAAGAGGCCCCAAGAGGCCCCCAAGAGGCCCCCAAGAGGCCCAAGAGCCCCCAAGAGGCCCCTAAGAGGCCCCCAAGAGGCCCCCAAGAGGCCCCCAAGAGGCCCCAAGAGGCCCCCAAGAGGCCCCCAAGAGGCCCCACGAGGAGCCCGAACGACTCACACCAGGACGAGGGGCCCGAACGACTCACACCACGAAGAGCCCGAACGACTCACACCACAAGGAGGAGCCCGAACGACTCATACCAGGACGAGGCGCCCGACCCATTCACACCACGAGGACCCCGAACGACTCACACCACGACGCGGGCCTCGAACGACTCACACCACGAGGAGCCCGAACGAGTCACACCAGGAGGAGGGGCAGCGCTCATACAAGCCCCCCAAGAGGGCCCCCAGAGGTCCACCATATGGCCCCAAGAGGTGCCCAGATGGCCCACAAGAGGTCCCCAGGAGGCACCACGACGCCTCCATGAGGCCCCAAAGATACCCCCAAGAGGTCCCCAAGAGGCCCCACGAGGAGCCCGAACGACTCACACCACGACGCGGGCCCCGAACGACTCACACCACGAGGAGCCCGAACGAGTCACACCAGGAGGAGGGGCCCGAACGACTCACACCAGGATGAGGGGCCCGAACAACTCACACCACGAGAAGCCCGAACGACTCACACCAGGACGAAGAGCCCGAACGACTCACACCACGAAGAGCCCGAACGACTCACACCAGGAAGAAGGGCCCGAACGACTCACACCAGGACGAGAAACCCCAAACGACTCAAATCACGAGGAGCGCTTTCTCTCCCTCCTCCTCCGCCTCGTCCTTCTCCCGCTCCCCCCACAAGGAGGATTCACAAGGAGGCGGGAGGAAGGAGGGACAGGGGAGATATACGGAGCCCAGCGGACACACGCCTGAAAAACACAACTGTCGACATGCTTCGCGAGAGCTGCTCGTGTGAGATGGGCTGGTGGGGATTCGCGAAGCGTAAAGAATTCCAAACGCCCCGAAAGACTCCACCGGCTCGCGCGCGAGCCACGGCATCACTAGATTGAGAGGCGATGCCAAGGATATCTGCGACGAACGGCGAGCTGCAGGAGAACGGGGGTGAGGGAAGAAGTGGACTGGGTGGGCCGAGTTCGGACTGGAAAAGGATCATGACGGAGATGAGGATGCGACCCCTACGCCAGGCGCCGCATCATCTGGACCCTCGGGAGTCAAAAGGGAACCACACGATATGGGTGGTGAGATCGGTCCCGAGAATTTGCCCACAGACCAAGCCATCACACTTGAACGCGACGAGGAAATACTAGGGGAAATTGAATATAGACAACAGTTAATGGGTATAGGTGAAAGTCTCAGTAAATGGATTGTTAACCATGACATGAGCATGCCACGATCAATCAATTAATTCAGACGAGCAGCGAGGTTGTGCGGAAAGTGCCGACAAGGGGTCCAAGTCGGGAGCCTACTCGCCAATGAGAGTTGATGGCATGGCTGACAAGTGTGGGCTGGATCCCAGGCTAGCCATGGAAATCACTCTTTAACGCTTTGTTTGAAGGTCGGCCACTTGTATGGGCATACTCACGTGAGCCCTTCTTCGTTGCTTCCTGTTATAACTCTCTGCCCATAACTCCGTATAACGGTGCCGCTGGTGGCGCTGTAATGTTCTCGGGCTCGCGAGACTTCCGCAAGGGTGACGGGGACTAGGTTCCCCGCGTCGGGCGGCACGACCGTGCTGTAAGCTCCCCCCCACGATCTCGTGCACCCCTGCAGCTCCCCCTGGTGGGCACCGCGCTATCTTCTGGCGACGTTCCATGCGCTTCTACTAAAACGGTGCCTGAACACATGTATGCTGCCAGCTTTGATCCGCCCGCGGGTTATTTAGAATCCTATCGGGCCAGCGACTACACCGTGGTCGCATGCAGAGTGACAGCAACTCGCCTTCGCGATTGGCGTCCGGCTTGATTTCGCTATACTATATGTGTTTGTTGCTCGCTCGTGGTACTGCTGGTTCCACTCGTCGAACCCAGGTGTTTCACTGGGGTGATGCACCCCACAGCATCCTGGTATGAGCTGTTCAGGAGAGATACTTGGAGTTCCACCTGACCCCCCAGAGCTTCCTAACTCTGGTTTGGCGTTCTTACGCTGCTCAACCTTGTTGGTTACCCTGTCTAGACACTGAGCCGCAATGTGACCCTTCTTTCCACATTTGTAACACTCGCGGCCGAGTATAAGCACGAGTCCACCTTTGCCCCAATGTCTGGGCCCCTTACCTCCGTGGCTACCATTACTTCGAGATTTACCTTGGCTCTTCCCTGTCATGTGCCCTCCTTTGCCTCCACTCCTTCTTCCCCACATCCTGAGTGGGGTTCTTGTTTTCCCAGAACATCCTCTCCTCCTCCTCCTCCTCCTCCTCCTCCTCCTCCCGCTTCCTCCACCATCCCATACTGTATCATACCATACCAATACCATGCCACTCCCATACCTTACCATACCATACCATGCATCCACCATCCCATACCATACCATACCTTTCCTCACACCATGTTATTTATCAGGTTTCGTGCCCCTCCCACCCCTCCAGGGAGGACCCGCCTGAGCGAGCAGGGTATTCGCACACCATAATATTTATCAGGTGTCGCGCCTCTCCCACCCCTCCAGGGAGGGCCCGCCTGAGCGAGCAGGGTATTCGAACACCATGTTATTTATCAGGTGTCGTGCCCCTCCCACCTCTCCAGGGAGGCCCCGCCTGAGCGAGCAGGGTATTCGCACACCATGTTCTTTATCAGGTTGTTGTGCCCCTCCCACCCCTCCAGGGAGGCCCCGCCTGAGCGGACAGGGTATTCGCACACCATGTTATTTATCAGGTTTCGTGCCCCTCCCACCCCTCCAGGGAGGCCCCGCCTGAGCGAGCAGGGTATTCGCACACCATGTTATTTATCAGGTTTCGTGCCCCTCCCACCCCTCCAGGGAGGCCCCGCCTGAGCGGGCAGGGTATTCGCACACCATGTTATTTATCAGGTTTCGTGCCCCTCCCACCCCTCCAGGGAGGCCCCGCCTGAGCGAGCAGGGTATTCGCACACCATGTTATTTATCAGGTTTCGTGCCCCTCCCACCCCTCCAGGGGGGCCCCGCCTGAGCGAGCAGGGTATTCGCACACCATGTTATTTATCAGGTTTCGTGCCCCTCCCACCCCTCCAGGGAGGCCCCGCCTGAGCGAGCAGGGTATTCGCACACCATGTTATTTATCAGGTTTCGTGCCCCTCCCACCCTCCAGGGAGGCCCCGCCTGAGCGAGCAGGGTATTCGCACACCATGTTATTTATCAGGTTTCGTGCCCCTCCCACCCCTCCCAGCCAGGCAGCCAGGAGCGGGAAGCGAGCAGGGCACACCATGTTATTTATCAGGTTCGTGCCCACCCACCCCTCCATGCCTGAGCGAGCAGGGTATTCGCACACCATGTTATTATCAGGTTTCGTGCCCCTCCCACCCCTCCAGGGAGGCCCCGCCTGAGCGAGCAGGGTATTCGCACACCATATTATTTATCAGGTTTCGTGCCCCTCCCACCCCTCCAGGGAGGCCCCACCAGAGCGGGCAGGGTATTCGCACACCATATTATTCATCAGGTTTCGTGCCCCTCCCACCCCTCCAGGGAGGCCCCATCAGAGCGCAGACAAGAAGCAAGGGAACCCCGTAACATCTTTATGTGGGGAACTCCGTTAGCATAATTTGACTCCCCCTGTTACCTCCTTTCCTGTAATTTGCAGCCGTGTGCCCAACAGGAACCACGTCTGTAGCACTTGGGTATTGCCCCTGTGAAGAGGAGGATGACGAGGGCGGCGAGAATGGCGAGGGCTGTCGCAGCGGCGGGGGCCGCACCTGTGCCCTGCCGGCCACGGGCGCGAGGGCGCAGAGGAGCCTCGCCTCCGGCCGGCGGGCGCCCGGCGATCGGCCTTCCCGTCCCAAGGGTGCTCTCTTTCTGAGGCGGGCCGCTGGGCGATCACACCCGTGGCGTCGGTCAAGAATCCCGCCGCGTTCCTCCCCCCCCACCTCCCAGCCTCATCCCACCATCCAGGACCTTTTCTTTTTCCTCCTCCTCCTCCTCCTCTTGCTCCTCCTCCTCCTCTTCCCTCGTCCTCCTTTTCCTCTTCCTCCTCCTCCTCTTTGTGCTCCTCCTCCGGATCCCTCGTCCACACCCGCCCTCCTCCTGAACCTTCCTTTCCGCCTCACCCATGATTCTCTCTCTTCCTCCTCCCCCTCCTCATCCTTTTCTCCTCCTCGCGTCTCCTCTCTCTTCCTCCGCCCTTCAAATCCTCCTCTCCTCCTCCCTTTCCTCATCCTCCTCCGGATCCCTCGTCCCCATCCACCCTCCTCCTCATCCTTCTTATCCTCATCCCCCATATTTGCTTCTCTCCTCCTCTTCCTCCTCCCCCTCCTGGGGGAAAGGCGGGGCGGCCTGTCTGTGCGCATCCCGGAACCTGACGACCTCCTCCTCCACCGCCTCCTCCTCCTCCTCCCTCCATCCAGGACCTTGTCTCTTCCTCTTCCTCCTCCTCTTCCTCCTCCTCCGCCTCCGAAATCCAACTCCTCCTCCTGTTCCTCTTCCTCCTCCTCCTCCTCCTCCTCCTCCTCCTCCTCCTCTGTTTGTCCCTCTCCTCCCCCCCTTCTTCGTCGTCCTCCTCCTCTCCTCCATCCCTCCTCCTCCCCTCCTCCTCCTCCTTCTCCTTCTCTTCCTCCTCCTTCTCCTCCTCCTACCTCGTTCTCCACCTGACCAACCTCCTCTTCCTCATCCCCTTCCTCCTCCCTTCCTCCTCTTCCTTTTCCTCCTCCTCCTCATCCTCCTCTGCCCTCCACACCCCTATCCCTTCCCTCATCCTCCTCTGGATCCCTCGTCCCTTATCCGCCCTCCTCCTCATCCTTCTTTTCCGCCTCACCAATGATTATCTCTCCTCCTCCTCCTGTGAGTACTACGATGTTTCATTTCAGTCTTAATATGAATCTGCTTAATAGGAGCAATGGTGTCATTATTATTGTTGTTATTACTCTTATGAGCGACATTACGATTCGCATCCGTATTATTAGTAGTTCCTGAAGTATTCCTTCTAAGCTTGGTATGAGTATTTCGCCTACTATTACTAAGGGTAATAAAGTTCATTACTCGTATGTATCATTACTACCACGACCTTTATGATTCCTGTTGCTAGAATTATTCGTATCCGTAGTACGCTTACCACTGATAGTGTTAATCCTCGTCCTTTTCGTCCTTCTCGTCCTCCTCATCCTCCTTCTCGTCCTCGTCCTCCTCCTCCCCGTCCTCCCCCTCCCCACGCACTGCACCTCCCCATGCCGATCCCCCGTCTCCACCCCCTGCTGTTCCTCCTCCTCCTCCTCCTCCACCTCCTCCTCGTTTGAATATTATTCTTACCACTATCCGTACTACTAGTAAAATTACAATTCGTTGTTATGTGTATGTCTAAAATCACTACTATGTATAATAAAAGCTTTAGTCGTGTAACTCGTGTTCGTGTGATTACTACTCAGGTTATCCTCATTCTTACGTGTTCCTCTCCCTTGTCCTCCTCCTCCTTCTCCTCCTCCACGTCCGCGTCCCCTCTACCTCCCCGTCCTCCCCCTCCCCCCACCTCCCCCTGCCCCTCCCCCGCCTCCACCTCCTGCTGTTGCTCCTCCTCCAATGATTCTCCTCCTCCTCCCCGTATGATTCGTCTTCGTGTACTAATTATAATTCTCGTTCTTCTTATAGTTTTCTTTAAACGCAAATGCATAATCATCACTACGACTATAACACTTGTTACTCACATGTTCACTACTAGTGCAAGAAATAAGTTTATCATCCGTTGTCGTATACGTAGTTTTTCTTATTGGTACTCGTATGAGAATTTGCGTTGCCAGAATGGCTGCGGACAGGCACGAAGATACTGTTGTCAAGCGCGTTTATCTCGACAGCCCTCCTCGAACACGCCTGTCTCGAGGCGCGCTCGACCATCTGTGCCTGCCGCGGCCGGGCCTGTCCGGCCCGACCCAAAAGGTAGTGGAGCGTGGGGTCCATGGCCCGCCGGCGTGGCGGCGCGCCTGCCCCAAACTCCGCTCAGCACCTGCCTCGGGCGCTCGCAGATGGGCGCCTCCACGTCTCGCAGCGCCCGGTCCCGGCCGTAGCCGCTCAAGCCAACGATCTCGCCAAGCACCGGAACCTGCGCAGCCAGCGCCAGAGGGTGGCGCCCGGCCTCGAAAGCGAACCCGCCGGTCGTCAGGTGCTTGAGGATGTCCGCGCGGGAGAGCTCCTTGCTTCGAGAATGGTGGTTCTTATGCTAGTTGCACCCTATGTATAAGTATCGCAAGTAACATAGCTACTTACATGAGCTACTTATGGGTACTTACTAAGATACTTATAAGTAACTTAAGTTGATGTTCTTAAGTTACTTAAGCTAACACTATAAGATACTTATAAGTTACTTAGGGAAATGAAGCGATCGCGATCGCTTGGGAGGAGGAGGAGGAGGAGGAGAGCGATGTCGATCGCTGTGAGGGGGGGGAGGGGGGGAGGAGAGTGATGAGCGCGGCGGGGCGCGCGGCCTCCTCACCGCGCGCGGCCGCGTCCTCAGTGTACGCGCGGCCTCCTCACCGCGCAGGGGGCTCACCCTCAGGGGCCGCCTCGCCGCCCTGCCCGTCGCGGAAGGCGGCCAAGCAGATCGCCTCCGCCTCGCTCAACGCCTGCAGCTCGGCCTGCTGTTGGAGCCGCCTGAGGCCCCCTCTCGGCCGACGGCTGCAACCTCGAGGCGCGGCCGCTTGGGTGGCGGCGGCGGCGCCGCGTCCTTGGAGGTGGCCGCAACGAAAGCGGCGGGCGACGGCATCTTGAAGAACTTCGCGTTGGCCATATTCGGCCACGGGCCGCCTCGCGGCAGCGGAACACTGGACGGCTTCGCGCCGACCAGCCCAGGTGGCAGCGGTTCCGAGGGGAGATCGTCCATGACGCGCCCCCTCCTGCGCGCGCGCGCGCCGTCGCTTGGCCGCGAGCGCCCCGTGCGTCACTCGCGAGGCGAGCCGAAACGGCTGAGCAATCGCCGTCATCGCGAGCCCATCGTCGCCAACGCCCGCCCGAGCGATCGCCATCGCTCCACCCATATTCCCACCCGCGCCCGAGCGATCGACATCGCTCTCCTCCTCCTCATCATCGTCATCCTCCTCTTCCTCCTTCTCCTGCCTCCTCCCCCTTCCAAGCGATCGACATCGCTTCGCCTCCCCCAGCGATCGGCATCGCTCTCTTGCTCCTCATCCTCCTCCTCCTCCTCCTCCTCCTCGCGGCGATCGAGATCGCGAGCCCCCCTGGCTGCCTATGCAAATCCCGCGGCCCCACTGGCTGCCCATGCACATCGCGATCGGCATCGCTACTCCTCCTCCTCCCTCCGCAGCCCCCTGGCTGCCCATGCAGATCCTGCTCCTCCTCATCCTCCTGCTCCTGCTCCTCCTGCTCCTCCTGCGCCTCCTGCTCCTCCTCCTCCTCCGCCTCCTCCTCCTCCTCCAAGCGATCGCCATCGCTACCTCCCCCAAGCGATCGACATCGATATCCCCCCCCAAGCTTCTTGTTGGCGCGCGCAGCCTCGCGCCGCCTCACTGCGGGGGCGCAGGCCGCGGCGGCGGGAGCGGCTCAGTCAGGGCGTCCGTGGACGACCCTGGGCGCCCGTCGCCGCCCGTGAGCCCCTCCGCACGGGGGGACCACGGCGGCGGAGGCGGCGTCGTCAGGGCGTCGGCCATGTCCACCGCCGGCGCCATGGCCTGGACCGCCTCGGGGGCGTCGTACAGCCTCTGCAGGCGGATGATCGCCATCGCGTCCTGCTTGAGCTGCGCCAGCGCCGCCGCATGCACCGCGGCGCGGCGGCGCGCGACGCCCAGCAGCTCGGCGGCCCGATCCAGCTCGACGTCGCGCATGTCGATCTGGAGGGCCAAGTGCCGCGCCACCTGGGGGGGTCGTCGTCGTCGTCGTCGCCGCCGCCGCCGCCGTCGTCGTCGCCGCCACCGTCGTCGTCGTCGTCGTCGTCGTCGTCGTCGTCGTCGTCGTCGTCGTCGTCGTCGTCGTCGTCGTCGTCGTCGTCTCGTCGTCGTCGTATCCGCCTCCTCCTTCTCCGCCCGCAGCTGGGCGTTCGCCGCGCGCAGCTGCTCGACCTCCCCGCGCAGCTGCTCCACCTCCCCGAGCAGCCGCTCGGGCAAGCTCGCCTCATTCGTCGCCGTCTTCGTCGCCGTCGTCGCATCGTCGTCGTCGTCTCGTCGTCGTGCGCGGCCGCCTTCGGCCAGCTCGAGGCGCGCTTGCGCGCGGCCGCCAGGGGCATCATCGCGCGTGCCCCGCGCGAGCCCAAGGGGCAGCAGCGCGCCAAAGCTGAACGGTTGCGCGCAGTGATCTTATGTTCCTCCTCCCACCCCCCGCCCATCTTCCAGCGATCGATATCGCTATCCCCCCTCCTCCGCCACCTCCTCCTCCTCCTCTTCCTCCTTCGAGCGATCGACGTCGCTTCACCTCACCCAGCGATCGACATCGCTCGATTTTCTTTTCCGTCCCCCCCTCCTTCCAGCGATCGGCATCGCTTTCTCCCTCCCCCTCCTCCTCCTCCTCATCATCATCCTCTTCCTCTCATCTCCTCACCCAAGCGATCGGCATCGCTTCACCTCACCCAGCGATCGACATCGCCCCCCACACACACACACACACACACACACCGCGGCGCGGCGCATGTTTCCATCTGGTTCTCAGCGCGCGTGCGCGATGACATAGTCACCGTTGCTCTTCACGCGCCACGCCCAGACAGCGCCATCCAGGTCAGCGTCGGACATCTTGATGACGAGGAGCTCGTTCACCACGCTGCCAGTGCTGAGGCCGCACGCGCCCGTTGAGATCTCGATCCCGCGGGCGACGA